GGGGGGGGGGGGGGGGGAGAGGCCTGATGTGTCCACCGGGGGTAAAGTTTGACCAAATCCCCGTAGTTTCCAACATTTTCACGCGCTTTTTCAGCGCGCGCACACGCGCGCGCACGGGATCCCACGCAGAGCTAGTGGAAATTGTGGAACACCCCCTGGTAACGCTTCAATCTTGGTCACAATGGGGGGAGGATATACAATAGTATGCCAAAGCCTGCACTATTAATATGAAGACAAATTATGGGTTTTAGAATGCGGCACGAAAGTTTATACAAGGAAGTACAAGGAAGATTATGTTGGTGTTACTATAGGCGCACTAATTCCTATACAAAAGACTGCTGCAAGTGAGCCACCTAGAGTGGCGATCCTGCGTGTCAATCTTGGCCCGGGAGGTGGGGGGGTGGGCTGGGGTGTTCCACGGTTTCCACTTGGAGGGCCCCTTGTACAGAGTGCGGTTTTCCTGTGATACTTTACGTATGCAGTTTCCATGGGTTGAGCGATATCAAGACTGCTACGAACATGGATGCTTGAACCAGCGAGGCTTTAATAAACAAATCACGAGTGCTGTAACAGCAGTTTCAAAGAGAGCGGTTGGTCAGTGAGTCTCCTACAGCAGTAGCAACCCGGAAACAGTAGCTATATTGTACCAGCAACCAGCGACGGGGCGGGGGGGGGGGGGGCACGCGCGGCCCGCTCAGAAAATTTCAAGCTGTAGTGTTCTGAAAGGATTTGCCGTATGTTTGTCTACGAGAGAGGACTCGAACTCCGTCCACACAAAAGCGGTAGAAATGGTGTATGCCTTCCCGAAATGTCAGCGTACAGATTGTCCACAACTGGCCCACTACCGGTTCTCGAAGTGCAAGCAAACGCTCAAACAAGGCACAGCTATCTAAATAAATCTGCACAGCAAACAAATAGCAGGTAGCGATCCTAACTAGCGTTTGGTGCGCAATGCCACTGGGATCCCCGCGCGCATCAACTTACCTGCCGTCTCGGCGACCTGCATCTGATCCTTGTCGTCACCTTCCGGCATGAGAATGTCCTAGTGGGTGTTCGTTCTTCGCCACCGCAGCTGTTGGCCTCTGGCGTGCGCTTGCTTGCTTGGGGGGCGCCGTGTTTCCTCTGTGAAAAATAAGCCTCCGAGATGAAGTTGAAACCAATGTCTACCAAATGTGCAAAAAAAAAACATTTTGCCAAATTCGCTGAGCCGCGCAGCGGCCTAGCGCCGCCGGCGGAACTGGCAGGGGACCCTTGGCACCGACAGGAGACGAAGGCAAAGAAGGAGGGCAAGTCAGCGCAGGTGAGAGATGGCTTGGCTATCTTTGTCATGCAGCAAGCGTGGTGTTAGCGTGTATATTGTCCTTCCCCACATGTATGTACATACGCTGCAACCACGTGTGACTTTTGAATTTTGGTTCAGGACTGGTTGTGTGCCCCCTGGTCGTGGTTGCCTCACCCTGGCGATACACACAAACAGGCTAGTGTACCGGGAATAGCGTTGCCCTTTTTCTGTTTTGTTGTGCGGAAACATCGTGCTTTCGCCACAGCCAGTCACGGATCGCAACAACGAACTACCACACAGAGTTAGCCCAGCCTTCTAAGACGTGTCTTAGAAAACGTCTGAGTCCGTTTCCACAGGAGAGGAACATCTAACTCCCAATTAGCGACTTGGTACGTCTTCCAGGCGTCTAACGCAATGGGGGATGCGACTGAGTGACTGCTCAGGAGCTGTCTCGACGACTTCACAGGACGTAAAACGCAGGAAAGAACAGACCTCTCTCTTCCGCCTTGCGTCCTCCAGTCCTCATCTCTTCTCTCTCCAACCCGCTCTCCCTTCCGTTCTCCGCAGAAGTACCTCCTCCAATTTTGAAGAAAGGGTGTTTGCATGTTTGCACTCATACTACTTTGCACAGGTCCGTTCTGTAGGGTACTGGGAGAGTTACAGAGCTGTTTGTGAAATCTCTGTAGGGTACTGGGCGAATACCGAACGTTCTGTGAAATCTCTGTAGGGTACTGGGGTCTCACAGAACTCTGTAAAATCTCTGTATGTGCTGGGGTCTCACAGAACGTTCTGTAAAATCTCTGTATGTACTGGGGTCTCACAGAACTTTTCGGTAGGGTACTGGGAGAATACAGAACGTTCTGTGAAATCTCTGTAGGGTACTGGGCGAGTACAGAACGTTCTGTGAAATCTTTGTAGGGTACTGGGAGAGTACCGAACTTTCTGTAAAATCTCGGTAGATACTGGGGAGAGTACCGAACTATCTGTGAAATCTCTGTAGGGTACTTAGGTCTCACAGAACTCCTCTGTATGGTACACAAACAACGTACCTACAGACGAACCCGGTACTTGCCCCGATAGTAGCAGCGTCACAGGACATCACGTCCTGCACCGCACAAAAGGACGTCTGCACCGCATGAAACACAATACTGATATTATACTCCGAGATCAACGTGGCTCCGTGCATTCTGATTCTACCCCACCCTACAGCGGCGCCACCATTGGTCTTCCTCATCAACTATAATTAACGAAGCTGACACGAAAAAAAAAAACAGTTCGACTACACCTGACCTGCGGTTGCCTTGGCGCCTCCTCCACTCAGAGGTACAGCAATCAAAACCGCGAAGAACGACAACAACAGAATCAACAATCAACCGCCGTAGCTACGCAGCACTAAGCCTCCGTTGTTGTCATTTGGAGCGAAAACGCAGTGCACCAAAGCAAAACACAAAACACGTACGTCTCACTCTTCCACCTTTGCCCTTCCACTCTTTCTTGCCAATCCGACTCAACACACGTAAGAGTTCAACGTCATACATAGAGAAAGAAAAAAAAGGCCGGTGATTCAACTTCCTTCAACTTCCGCGAGGCCGAGGTCCGTGCTAGTGTTTTGCACCATGTCAAAGGCAGCCTCAGCTGCTGCCAGCTCAGCATCCACCCCGGTGAACCGTGCCGGGAGAGCCTTGCGAATGTTCTTGCTTTCGATGACGGGAATTTCTTTGAAGTCAGGGATGTGCTTGAAGTTGGCGTGGAGGAACATGATCATCTCTACCCAGTAGGTGTCCACGCGGCTCCTGTGGCGTGTGAGGAGATCAGCGCATTTGCTGAAGTCGCGCTCTACCTGCGCGGCACCCGCCTGGTTCCCAAACACTTGCTGCGCTACTGGTGCGAGAAATGGGAACATCTGCCTGCTTCGTCGCCACCAACCCAGCA